AGAGCGGCTTGCAAACTCCTTTCCCTTCCCCTCCCCACAACACACACCCTGTGAGGTAGGTAGGGTTGAGAGAGCTCTGACAGAAACTGCTCTTTTTTCAAGAACAGCTCTTATCAGAACTACGGCTTGCCCAAGGTCATCCAGCAGCTGCGAGTGGAGGAGTGGGGAATCAAACCCGGTTCTCCCAGATTAGAGTCCACACACTTAACCACGACACCAAACTGGCTCTCTAAGAAACTAAGAAACACAAGGAAGATGGCCGAGGAGTTCGGCCCCTTGCGTTTTAAATAGCCAAAAGAGTCCAAAAGGGCTGTTAATTAATTAAACCCTGGAAAGACAGAAGTAATCCTGCCTGAGAAGGCAGGAGGACGTTATAAAGGACGTTATGAAGGAGGAGGAGGAGGAGGAGGAGGAGGAGATTGGATTTATTCCCCTTGCCCTTCACTCGGAGTCTCAGAGCAGCTTACAAACTCCTTTCTCTCCCCCTCCCCACAACAGACACCCTGTGAAGTCGGTAGGGCTGAGAGAGCTCTGACAGAAACTGCTCTTTTCAAGAGCAGCTCTGAAAGAACTATGGCTTGGCCATGGTCATCCAGCAGCTGTGAGTGGAGGAGTTGGGGAATCAAACCCGGTTCTCCCAGATTAGAGTCCGTGCACTTAACCACGACACCAAACTGGCTTTCAATGTGGTTCAGCTGACTCTTGCCGACCTAGTTAAGAGTCTCGGGGTTACATTGGACCCAACATTACTGCTGAAGAAGCAAGTTAATGCCGTTGCAAAAAAGGCTTTCTTCCTGCTCTGCCTCTCTCAAAAAATAGCCCCTTGCTTTGATTCAGCTGATCTGGCCACCTGGATCCATGCCACGGTGAGGTCGAAACGAGACTCTTAGAATGCACTGTGCATTGGCCGCCCCTCAAAATCAGTTTGGAAACTCCAGTTCGTGCAGAAGGCAGCAGCTGGGCCCACAACGTGCAGGATGTAGAAGGAACGCTTCTCTTATTCCCGTCCTGCAGTCTGTCCATCACCAGGTGCAGTTCATAGCACATCGACAATCCCAAACAAAGCTGTTTGTGCCCTGGGACCCTCGTACTGGTGGGACCACCCCTCCCCCAATGCTGCGCCACAACAGTCTCGCTCATCCGAGCAGGGCCCTCTGCCACCCTGCAAATGGGCAAAATCGACACCTGCCCGCACACAGTCCCTTCTCTGCTGTGGCCCCCACCTTGTGGAATGGCCTCTCTGAGAAGGTCAGGAAGGTTCCCCCTCTCCTAAAGGTGTTCCTTGCTCGAAAGCCAGTCTAATCCGACTCTAGGGGGTGGTGCTCATCTCCGTCTCCAAGCCGGAGAGCCAGCGCTGTCCGAAGACTTCTCCGTG